TTTTTTTGACACTTTTTGAATTCTTAGAAAGATTCATATAAGGAATTCAGTATTACAAGAACAATATATTCATCTTCCATTTTGCTCTCATTATTTGCTAAATCAAGTATCATTTTATTTAAATCACCAAAGTTTGCCTTTAGATTTCTTGAGGTATTTATTTCATATGCAACGAATCTTCCAAGAATATAAACACTATTGGGGATCTTATTAGCATATAAATCATCTAGCTTATCTCAAACTTCTCAAGGCAGTTGTGGAAGTATTTACCTGCCTAGCGAAGTTATTTGAAGTTTTTGAATGATTGATTTATTGGATACCTCTAAAATCTCAGCCTCCATTCTCAACCTGTTATTGCATCAATGTTGCCTTTTTTCTTCGAAAAGGATAAAATATTCTTTCATGTCAAACTTCTATGAGTCCAACCTGCATACCAAGTTGTGAACAAATTATTGAATGCAACCATAGAGTAGTTCCTCAAAGGAGTCTTTATTAGACCAAGAAGACTTAACATACCTCGAGATCTCAACCTTGGATGCTCTTTCAATAGAAGAATCTTCGAGATCTTCAACCAAAAAAAAAAAAAAAATACTCAATGCTTAGAAATATGATATAGATCTGATGCCATTGATGGTAATACAAGTTTAAACCACAATCAAGGAACCAAAACCATCCCTGAACCACTTCAAATTCGAAAAAATTGAAAACCATAAGCTTTTCCACCCTACTCACCATACAAAATAACAACCCGATCTACACAAAGACCAAGCTGCAATCCAAACCCCTAAATTGCATTTTAAACCCTAATCTAGAAATTGCACAAATAAACCTGAAAATTCCAAAAATATAGAGGATGGCCCACCTTCGCCAAATCACCACAAGTCTTTAGGTTGCAGATCTTCACCCCTTTTTAGGTCAATGACCGGTGTCAATTATGGCATCAACAAGGTTGTGTGATCTGCGTCGATCCTTGTAGGTTTGCGTGAATCCATTCATGCACTTAGGTTGTACATCCATAGTAGGCCAATGACTTCAAACCCCAAGCTTTGTACAATGGAACAAGATTGTGGTCTAAACAAGATCAAGTATAGGGATACATATATATATGTTGGTGGTAGTGGTGGTTCAGATCTTTAAGGGTG